GAGCCAATAGAATCACTTCAGACTGGTATGAAGGAAAGCAGCATTGGTCTTAAAAGGACACATTTTAAAAGCAATAGCACATGATCCTACAGCTAAGGCTGGGCAACACTGCCTATAGGGCAGAAGATGACCACTTCATGTCTCGCTTAGCCATGCTTACACTTTCTTTGTTTACATTAGACGAATTTCATCTGTGCACAGGAGACCAGCAAAAAGTCTCCTAAGCCAAACCCAAGAAAAATGTTATGTGAAAAGCCTTAGATCATAACTCTGTTGCTTTCTCTTTGCACAGGCGTGAAATCCAGGGGCTTTAAGAAGCATTATCTGTACTTGTTCACGTTTTCAGAGACATGTAAAGTAACTCACAGTCCAGTGGCATTGCTACGAGTTTTAAAGCAATACTGGCAGTCACAACAGAATAAAACACCATTCAGGTGAGGAACATGTGTGTGGGAAGCAAAGGGAATCAATCCTGAATGGAGATAAAAAGTCATCAGTCACCTTTGATTTAAAAAAGGGAAAGGGAAAGAAAACAAGTTCTGTCAAAATAAGTGCTTTCTCCTGGAAATACATGAGACTTAAGAACAATCACATGGTGATTTGACTTAAACTACCAGATCATCATCTATAATCTAGGTAATGACCTTTAGCAATTTGGGGTACAGGGGAAAGACAGACCTATTCATACATCTGGCCTATTCAAAATAAAATTTAATATTTTAAATAGTTGGAATTTTTAAGGGACAAGGACTCCCTGAGGTTTATGTGCTCAGTCCAGTGACCTGTCTACTGCTGACTTAATATTTCTCCAGAGTCAGAGAAGTTACAGTGTTGGCTCACCTACCTCTAGGTAGGTAATGCTCCCTAAGAGGGAGAATTTTAGACTGCCACAGGGCTGTTAAGGTTTCTTTCTGAGGAGAGACATACCACAGTGCCCAGGATGTCTAAAAGTCCTCTGCAAGCTCTTCCTTTCAACTCTGCTACCCCATCACCTGTGAATGAGTGGGTCATGATGCTGATACAAGAACCGTGCCAATTTATGGGATGCCTGTGGATAAGAACAGTCCTAGACAATGATGCAGTGCAAATAAGGCATAACAAGAGAACATTTATCTTCCAGTTTCCTGAGCACAGGAGGCTCCCAAGGAAAGAACAAAGCACAGTCAGAGCAACCCCTGCACTGGGTCTTTTTAGGACACGATCTTGCCCAAAATTTTGTGGAGAAGGTGGATGATCCTTGTCAGTCTGAACATACCCTGTGTATCACAGGGTATTTTCAAGTCCTTACCATCATTTCTCTTCAGCAATTTTAATGGGAGATGTTGAAATATTATATTGCGATTGTTGCATTGAAGAGAAAAAGAAAAACTAATGAAATTATTTATACTTCCAGGGAAGAAAACAATGAGATGATATTGTCTTGAATGACCTTTCCTAAGTATGGGGATATAGCATCTTACACAATAGAGTCTTGGTTCATGTTTCAATTACTGACCTTTACTGTGGAGAAAATTAATGCAATTTTCATCGTAATCCACCCGTACAAATAAGATCCATACGGAAGGTTTCCACATGCTGAATCTAACTCAAATGGAAAATGTCAGCTGTTTGCTACTGGATGAATTTGACTTTAATTTGTTCAGCTGGAGTCCTTTTGAATTCTGTTCATAAAACTTTGTATATCTTTGGTACCTATTTTTGACAGAGAATTTCCTACATTATAAACATTGGATTTTTATTCTTTGGTTATTTTACCCACTTCTGTTTGTTTCCAATACATAAGATACTAAACCTTCCTTGGAAGTTGCCAAATAACTCGGCTTAACGCCACGGTATCATTTGATCCTTCCCTGTTAAATCCCACTAGCCAAGCAGGGCTACATTGGTTCACCACAGGATACAAACCCTCAAAAAAAAAAAAAAAAGCCCACACAGGAACTGTGGTTGATTTAGTTTTGTCTCTGATTTTCTTTTGAATTAGTTAAGTTACCAGACCTGGAAATAGTAGTAATTTAAGTTTTTTCTGTTGTGGAGGAGATGCAAACTTTTATTCACACTACTGAGAAGACTCCAAGACTTTTTCCAGTCAAGTGCTATGACACACTCATTCACATCAGAACTGTCTGCTCTTGAATCTCTACAGTCATTATCAAAAACACAAAATAAAATAAAATAAATAGAAATGGTCAACAATTAGACAACTTACTGCATGTAAGCTGCATGTAACTTGTCTATACCTTCTTACTGGCAGGCAAAAGATGTTTCAGTGATGTAATTTTAAAACAATCCTTACTCAGGCAGCCTGACAGAGCCCAGAGCCGACAGGACACAGCCTGAACTCTGTGTCCAAGATGGCACAAATCCGAGAAGGCATTTATCCACCCAAGAGCTGTGCCAAAGGGACAGAGCTCTCCTATCTTTTACAGTCCTCCATGCTGGTATGTGGGGAGGGCAAAGGGAGAAAGGACGGGGGAGTTGGCAATTAAGCCCTATCATTTAAGACAGATAGTTTAGGTGCAGGGAGTTAATCTGCTCTTGGGTTTTTGAACTAAGTGTCTGTGTATTTTTAATTTGTAAACAGTTCATCTCTTAGAGGGTGTGTTACAATTCCCAGAAGCACGGTCTGTTATGTCTAACAGGCAGCAGAACCCAGAAGGGCTCTGTGTGTGCGTATTTTGATACAGCACGATGATAGGAAACAGAAACAGTGACCTCCTATACCACAACCCAACTAGCAGATTTCAACTCTGGGAGCTCTTGTATTAGGGAGGGAAAAAAAATATACAGACTTCTTTTTAAAGTATAGTTGTCTGTTTAAATGTTGACATTGCCATGAGATAATGTCATGAAATTACATTTTTCTTACACTCCCCAAAGAGCACTGGCCACCCTCAGACTTGGAAAAGTCACTTAGAATAACCTAATGTACTTAAAGATGCAAGTCATCAGAGTGCAAGCATGGTCCACCACTGCTGCACAGGGGATACACACAGGGCAGAATGAAAGCATGGGACATATGCAGTGGCTGGAAATTGTCTCTTCTGGCAACTCTGTGTCAGAATTCCATAGACCTGTAACACTAGTACAACAATTAATATGAATTATGAATTATTATTACTGAAATGTTGGGATGTAAAGGGTTACCTTGATGAGAAAGCCTGCTGGCGTCTACTGTGAGTAGTTTAAGCCAGTGCTACCAGCTCAAGAGTCTCATGAAATGGAGACAGGCAACACTGATTACAAAATGGCAGGGCCAAATAATCAACAGCTCAACACTGACTCTCAGGAGTTTCCCCAAACCTACCTACTTAGTTAGAAGAAACCAAGAAAGAGAATTACAGTGAAGTTGTTTGGGGGGAGGCAAAACTGTAAAGTCATTAAATCCATATTTAAGCAACCCAACTGTATATATAGAGAGAACCAAAGTCACGGGAGTTAAATCTAGGGTAAACATAACCTAGAATATTTTATCATTGCAGCAATGAATCTCTTGCACAGCACAGGAAACAGAGGATTATACACCTACTTAATACATTTTTACTTCTCTATTCCCACCTCAGCACTTCCAAGTGAAAAAGAGGAATATTAAAATAGAAGAAAGTAAATGGGATTGTTCCAGCGAATAAGTTACACCTTCAGGCATCACACAAATAATATGCAGAGGGTCAATATTTACAGGTGTCTAGCACTGTATAGAAATTACACCCACTAAATAGAAATTATTGACTTTTAGAGATACACACTATTCCTTTGAAAAAGAGGCAGCTTTCATTTAGCAACTTCTGATGAGTTCCAGATATTGGTCCATTCAGTTGACGAATTTTACGACGCAAAGAGTAAATTATAAATGAGAACATTTAGACAATTATTGTGTGTTGCAAGAAACCTGTAATTCAACTAGATTGCCTAAAGTTCACTTTATAACTTTGACGGATTTCTGGTTGCTCATTAAAATATAACCACCACAGAGGAGCAAGTTAAATTTAAATAACTATTCCCATCAATTAGTCTGCTGAGCTTCAATTCTAGGGTCTGTGACTGAGAAGAGTTAAGGTGCACTTGCCTGCTGTGGTATTGATTTACTTCTCAATGATCAACAATTTCACTGTAACACTTTTAAAATACAGAATATTCAAGAAGAGTCTTATTAACTTTGTATGCAATTTTAAAGTTTCACATCGCCTTGTGAACATTTTCTTCCTAACAGCTAATGTTCCTTTGCATGCTGTTGCTCGTTAAATAATTCCTCACCTTTTAGCTTTAAAGTATTTATAGATTATCAGATCCTCCTTCACTTACTTACGTTTTTTCAAGCTGTATACATTAAGTTCTCTTAATCTTTCTTCATATGTCATGCCCTCTAATCCTTTTATCATTTGTCACTGTGGTTTGATAAACTTGGAAAAAAATCCAATGAATTTTTCACAGTGAGAAGAATGAGTAAGTACGTTCCAATAAAATAAAAAACAGGCCTTGCCAATTCCAATTCTTTCCACATTTCAGTTGATGAACTAAAACTGTTTTTTTCCCAGGCTCTGAAAGAAACGTTGAGAAAATTCTAACCAGTTCCCCACAAATCACACTAATTCTGGCCTACTGGAGTGGAAATGCCAAATCATTTCGGGAAAGCCACTAGCACAGAATGTCATCCAACACTCGGAGGCAATGGGGGATTTTACACACTCGTGTATGTCTTTGCACCTCGTGCACCCATACACACACTTCTTAGTGCACATACATGAACATGTGCCCATTACAAGGTCAAGTACAAACTGGAGCTGCTCAGATTCAATTAATGTTCAGAGGTCTCATGGAGGTAATACCACTATGGAAGGTTACACAAACCAGCCTTCTCCTACTTTCAAATTTGCAAACTGCTGACAACTGTCTTCCCACTTAATACAGATAATAAATGAAGATCTCATGGAGACAAGATGGTGGGTTTGTGCTCTCCCACGTTCCTTCTGATACTACCCAACATAATCATGAGATATGCTTACCTTATCATCTTCATCCTCATCTTCATCCAAGCCCATAAGCTCCTGCAGAAGCAGATGTCCATATTACAAAACATTACATTTATTTTTCAGCAACAGGCAATGTTCAAAAAGCTTATGATACTCCCACAACATTTCATTATACAATTTTCTCCCACTTCTACTGAAAGTCATTTAAAAAACCCACCACTTTCACCTTTCAGAAATAATGTTTTGTATTCAAGGACCTTTTTTTTTTGTGTGTGTGATATTCTGAACAAAGCACGCAATGCCCTATACAAATTTTAAGCCTAAATAAAGCACTCATGGCTGTGTCCAGTAATTCGAAGGCAACAGGCTTTCAAATTCATTGCCAACTTTTACTGTCTGTAAACAGCTTTGTACTTAAGTCTTGCAAATGAACCAGAAGGTATGTCAAGGCTGAGGACTCTATACTCAACTTGTTCCATCCTCTCTGCTACAATGACTGCTCCCTCCCTTTAAGGCCATTACTGAAACATTAGACTTTAGAAAACACATTAGTATGAACATAATCAATCTCACGAATCACAGTCAGATTTCTATGCAGCATTATTTCCTCCCTTTAACTTCTATGCTGACAGGTAGGGGAGAAAACAAAAGACTTGGCTAAGGCTTGGAATTAGGAGCACTTGGCTTTCAATTCAGGTATTTAATAAACTGAGCCTTTAACAGGATCCTCCAGGTTTTTCTTGGTTATTTAATAGCTACATTTGAATCTGTGTACTACAAGTTTAAATACAGCAAACACGCAAAGAATGTGAGGAATCACAATAAAAAAAAAGTTTTGAATTTGGGTTTTCTTGGGGGGTTGGGTGTTTCTGTTTGGGTTTTTTTTTCTTTCTTTTTTCCCCCTGAAAAGCAGTTTCATCTAGTATGTAAAAAGTACTGAGAGCTGAGATACCCAGATGTACTCTTTGGCTCTCTGGAATACCCTGAGCAGCCGAATTAACACTGATCATGGTTTAAATTTCTATAGAAGCTCCCCATCTGTAAATCATAAACCATTTTTACCAATATTCACAAATTTAGTCTCTTGGCAACTGGATCAGGAGTACAAGGTTAATACTGTTATTCACATTTTATAGCACAGAAATCAGAGAGAATTTAAGGTTCACTTTTGCAAAGACTGTTGCTTGCATTCCTCTATATACACAAAAAGTGTGTGCTAGCACACAAAAACCAAGGGCAGTGAACATGCAGCCAAGGGCTTAAGAAGCAAAAAATAAATAAATGACTATGTAAAAATCATTGGTATTTTGAAGAAAACCTTATCTCATCTGCACGACAGATGTGACTAGGGGTAGCACCTGATTGTCTATTTTTGACCCACAGATGGTTAGAATCATAGACACACATAAAAAAGAAATCAGGTAATATTAAAGGCACTTTGACTACTTGTTCCATATGATCTCAATCCTGCAAAGCACTTTGGCAGATGTGTGATTTTGCTTATGCAAAATGCACCCCTGAATTTCACGGCACTGCATTGCTTACAGAGTGTGTGACAGGAAGAGAGCCAAATTTCTGATGGACCTTCCTTGAGTATTATTACAATTAGCTGTATTTTTAGAGATATCCTTTTTGTAGTATCCACCTAAATGATCCTCTGCTCAATTTTTCTATTTTCTGTGAGACTGACCTCACCTGAACATGCAACAAACTCACTACAGGATGAGTGAGGGGGCTGGAAGGCATTCTCTGTGTGTTTTTTTCTGGGTAAGTTATTATTGTTATTTTTTTATTGGTTTTTGTATTAAAACCAAAAACAGCTGTTTGCCTGGGATTCTACCACATGGGAAGTTATTTTCTTGATGAAATCAAGTAGTCACTGAAGACACACAGTATCTTTTTGTGTTATTCTGGATGTGGTTGAAACTGGAGAAAAGAATTTCTTTTACCATGTTTTCAAATTACACGTCTCCCGGTCTGGATAATGCAACTTCCCCTATTTTCTAAGAATCTTTCCACTAGAGAATGGATGAAAACTGAACTAGGAGCAACTTTTCTCACTAAAACTAATAGAGCAGCTACTGACTTTTTAAATTCTACAATATTATGTCTTTGTATAAAATCCATTTGACTTGTTCAGGTAAAGGTACCAATGTCAATCATCTTTTTATCAAAAGTTGGAAGCTACGCTTTGGCCTCCATTTCATTACTGTATTTATTTCACTTTTAAAAACAGAACATCATGGACATTCACATGAATTTACGGTCATTCCTAGCTGTAATTACCATTGTTGTATGAGTAAAGACAGTGGTCAACATCAAACAGCATTTCATACCCCAAGAGTAGCACTTTGTTACTTTGTGATTATTTTCTGCATTTAAATTCTTTTTTCTCCCAAGTTAAAAAAACGGAGGCTAAATTTCTGGGGGAAAAAAACACTTGTCATTTAAGGGGGGGTGTGGGAAGGAGGAACAAAGGTTTTTTAAAGCCTCAGATCACAGGACAACAAAATAACTTTAAAAATAACTATATTCTCTTCTGGCTTCTATTGACTTTGCTCTTCTGTGAATCATGAATCATTAGTGTGATGCAAAGTGTAATGGCAGGAGAAGCATGGCACTTGTCGCTTTGGAAGCCTTTCTTAATTCAACTTAAAAATGTTTGTAGTTACTTAGTAAGTGAAATCCTCCTCCTACACACTCTCGTTGTCTTCTCCTACTAGTCTGAATGGTTTATTGCTTTAATCAAATAATGAAAATCGAGAGGGTTGAGGTTTCTTTTCACTAACTTTAAAATAAAACCGCTGTTTAGATACACAACTAGCTTAATACCATTAAAACACGTGACACTTCGCTCAAGGGCAAACTGGGGCTGCCAGAAATGTTACTGCCACTTTACTTGCCTGGGCATCTTGGGCGTTATTGACCTTCCCTGTCGTGACGAGGGAGAAATTGTAGGCAAAGAGCACCAGCAAAGCCAGGGGCACCATGTACAGCTCCACGTTCCAGACGGTGACCACAAATACCTGGGAGAAATAAAGCAGCACAAGGGAATACACACAAGTGTTTAAAGAGAAAGACATGTAAGAAAGCCTTTCAGTCATTATCACTCTGTACATTCATCCTTGAATGTCTGTTAACCTCAAACCTCATTCATATTATTATTTTGGCAAAGAAATCAGCTCGCAAAGCGTGTGCTTTCGCTCCATTCTGTTTGAGATCATTAGGCTGCTGTTTGTTAGGTCCTCCTCCCCTGTATCTGGGGAAGTATAAGGCCATGAACATAAGGTTACTCCAAAGGCTTTATTCACTCCTTCCTGGGACCCCCTCAAGCCTGAAAGCCTTTTGTCCTTAGTGCTAGTATAGAACAGATGCACTTATAGAGGTAAACCTGCTCCACTACATCAAACCCTAATTGCCAGGGGGTCTTTCACAGGCTAGAGAGGTTTTTTTCCTCTTGTGCAACAGGAACCATAGAGATCCCTTGTCACTCCACAGCGGATAATCAGCACATGCATCTTCACCATTAATCCACCTATATTCTTGGCACAACAGCACAGAGAAAGGACTGTTATCAACCAGGAGGCAAGGCTTCATGATGTATTATTTTGGAAAGGGATCCAGTCAGCCTAGTCTCCATTCTCATACTCTTGTCATTTTTCAGCACAGCATACTCTAATTTCACTGGTTGCTTGGACTCTCTTAACCCCAAACCAGTATGAGTCTGTGTATTTGGAGTGGTATCTGACAAAACTCACTAACAGCAAAACATGAAGCCAAATTTTGACGTTTTGTCCTGCAAATTGGAACAGCAAAAGACACAACTAATGTGATGGGGATTTAAAAAGCACATAGGGGTTTTTTTTCCAAAAAAATGTATCAAGCCAAACTGCAATCCTATCTTAAAAGTACCAACAATACCTGAACAGACTGCAAACTTGGAGGGGTTGGCAATGCAAAGTTAATAAACTAAATCCAGAACTGCCATAAAATGCATGTTGTGATCCCATTTCCTTTTCTACTCATACATAGTGTTTCCAGAAGAACTGCCTAATGCTGGTAGCAACTTGAAGTTATTTTAAGCAATCTCCTTTAAAGACAAGGCACAAACACATTTTTCTCATTTTTCTTCCCCCAAAAGAACCTGGAATGATCAGAAACAACAATCACATCTTTAGAATAACACAGGTAAGTGAAAATGAGTCAGATCCAGTAAATATATCTCAAACCACAACAAAGGAAAACTCTATGTGTGATGAGAAATCTAAATCTCTACCTCCCCTCATCCTTGGCCCATCAGATATTGCACATAAAGACAATGCTGGCAGTTGTAGAATGGGATATTTATGGCAATGTATTTTGTGTTATGGACTTGAAAGTGTAACCACACTGTACCAGAGAAATACTTCCCATTGCATTCAGCAGTGTGAGAATTTATACTCCTACAGAACAGCAGCTGTTGTAACTTTTAAACAAAAAGACCTGTCTGACATCAGACAAATGATCAGTTAATATCTACCACGGGCCAAACATAAACCGAGAAACAATGCCTGTATCCGTAACCTTGCCCAAACAGCACTGCATTTTCTAAAGTGAACCTGATTTTATGTTAGCTGTTGCTATGCAAGGAATTAGACTGTCATCCTGTTCTTGGCATTTGTAGGCCAGTAAAACAATCTTTGAGATATATTCATTTATAAAATGGGCTGACATCCAGGCAATATATCCCCATGCTATTGATTTGCAGCGCAGGAATGTAGAAGAGGATTTGGTTTCCCTTTTTTTTTTTTCCCTTTTTGATCCTGCTTTTCAACATACTAAAAAATTAGAAGTGATAATGATTCACACAGCCACATTTCATATGTAAGCAAGGCAACAGAAACACATGAATCCGGGCCAAGAAGGCACAGTGCTTGATCTGTCTTACAGGAGTCTTGCATGACTATAGCTAATAAAGACTTCCAAAATTGTTATATTCCCAGCTGAAAAGTCTCCCATAAATGAAAAGTTCTAACCCGAACAAGTTCATCTGGAACTATTACAACTCCCTCGGATGAATCTCTGCTTGTTTTGTAAGACAAAGTAAAGGTGATACCAGCTCCTGTCCTACCTCAAATGTCACTCCAAAGAACAAGGATCTCTTCTTGTACATCTCTACACAGATATCTTTCTCACGTACATATAGACAGATAAAAACAGACACACACATATAAATATACATCTGATCCTTATGTAAACCCTTTCATGGAAATTCGTGTTGCCAGGTTATTAATTCAAAACATTTGTTCCAGCCCATTGGAGGGGGTTGCATTTGCACCATCTCCCTGGGGCACGAGCAAACTCAGTCTTCCCTTAATGCAGCAAAAAGGCTCCACCAGCACCCAGCCAGGCAGAGTCCTTCCTACAGGGAGTCAATGAAGCTCTTGAAGAACCTTTCTTCATTCACTCAATTGCAGGACTTGACCCAATTTTAGTGCATCTGTCACCATCCTGTGTGAACATCACTCTGATCTGCTGCAAGTGCAACACAACCTTGCAATCACAGGTCATTTAGGCAGGCTACGAAATCAAGACCTTGGTGATTTTAGATCTTACAGTACATTTTGTGTATTATTAAGTTTCAGACCTTAAATAAAACTTCAAACTTCATTACAAAATCTCACTGTAGTCTCAGTGGATAGCTCAGGCATACTGTCTCTTCCTTTCTAATGCTGACTGGTTAATCAGCTGCTGAGCTGTAACTCAGACAGTGACGCTTTGATAGAGCCCCTACATCTCCTTAACAAGAGTTGCTTTACTGCTACTGCCACAGTACAGGGAACTTTCATTACTGTGACACAACACAGACACAAGACAAATTGATTTAGCTATTCAGAAATTATTTAGCCTCGGAGGTATGGGAAATGATTGCTGTGAACATACAGTACATAATAAAAGTTCAGAGCGTGTTTATAAAGCGAATAGAAATATTTCTGCAATTTAACAGCCTTTTGAGTAGTTCTGCAGCATCAGTTTTCAAAGCAGATCCCAAGCAGGCCCATGTCCTATTTTATCAGCTCTCAGGCAGCTCTCTGACACTGACCACAGCATCAGCAGCCCTGTGACACAGACACCCACTCCCCAAATGACAAGGTTCTCAATCATGCATGTTTTTACTTTCTCCTCAATCATACCTTATGCCTGGGAGAAGGTCCTGCATTATGCTCCCTAAATTATTTTCTTTTCAATATTTTTTTGCCAAAACTCAAGAATGCTTTGTCTGCTGATGTAAATGATGGCTAATGCAAGGAACAGTATCTTCTTGATTTCTTGTCATCCCCAGTCTGCCTTTTGCCTAATACACAGACCAGTAAGGGAATCCATTAACAGGTTCAGGTCACTTTCTCAATACCCCAGAAGTCAGGGACACAAACCAAGGCCCTGTTTCAAATGATCCAGTTTCAACAAACCATTTCTTTTTTCGATGTTTCACATCATTGTTAGAACAAGTTGTGTCAGACACAATCCATTACATCATTGACACCTTTTCTTCTGGGCTTCACACTGTGCATGGGAGAAGTTAAAAGGACAACAGCCGATTTCTAAACTAAGAGTCAAAAAAGTGGAAGCGAGTTTTCTGCGTTACTTCCTTTAATGCCATTTGAGAGTATAAAAGCCTATTATAGGAGCGAACAATTTAATTCACAGCATTCTAAAACACTGATCCAAACAGAAACAGAAATGGGATAGACGTATCTAGAGGGAAAGAAAAAGAAAAAGAGCTCTTGAAACTAATATTTAGACTAGAGCTCTACGTAGAAGAGAACAGCAATATCACAGCCTTGGAGAAAGGACCACTTGATTTCAGCTGATTAATGTGTTGCTATTTCAAAGGGCCTAATAACTACAAGTTAAAGCTCTGGAGGTTTGGAAGCCGTTTCATCTGAAAATCATTGAAGAGGGGTCCAACTGTTCCTGTCAAGAAGCATGGAGTTTGAACAACCATGAGAGTGGCCCTTTTGACAGCAGTACAAAAGATGAGAGAAGGCAGCCTCAACTGAAAGTAAAAACAAACCCTTAGAAACACGTTTCAAATCTGGTTTTTCTGCCCCTCTGGTTCCAATTTAGGATCTGACTATTAAGACCAGATTTTAGACGGGTGTCTACTAAAATATGCCCATAAAACATTTGTCACCAGCAAACCCACAGTCAGAGGATGGAAGAGTTTTAAGAGGTTTAGAAACCTAGCATAAGATAGTATCTTCCGTGTGATTTTTTTTATATGCAGCAATTATAATTTTTCTAACTGTAAAAAACAGGCTTTCTTTGACCTGGTAAGCTTTTGTGGAAAAGTGAAAGATGTTGTGTTATGTGACAGAGTAATTCTTGGAAAACAACAGTGATGGGAGGAGAGCGATACATTCCATCAGATGGAAGAAATAAAAGTGAAAGGAGATTAAATGCATGCGAGGAACCTATGGCAAAAAGTTCTTTTCTCAGCCAGTGTAGGCTCCAATGCTAATGAAATGCCTCATCAGCAGAGCTGTGAAAAATATTATTTGGAACTCAAAGTCTCAAAACCCACAATTCAACTGAACTCCAAACAGCTTCATGCGATTTATAAACACGATCTGTGTAATTCATGAAGGCAGGAGAAAAACTTGAGCTGACACTGCTGTGAATGTCCAAGTTAGGTTTTGAACTAAGCCAAATCACTGATTCTGATTTGAGACACAAAGATTTGCACCCCTTTTATTTACAGGGGAGAGGGATTCTGTATTTCTTACTTATCTCAGAGTTATGTAGTTTCAAGTTGCCACGTATGCACAAATGAACTCTAGAAAAAAGGAAAAATTTCTGAAAATAAGTATGCAGGGACAAACTCTCTAGACTTTTGGGGGTTTTTTTAAGTTTTCAGTACAAAACAAAATAGAGGATATTAGCCAAAAATGTAAGATACTGGTTCCCCAAAAGGGCACTCAAATCCCTTGGAGGCAATAAGCCTGTCGACAACAAATTATTTCTGACAGATACTTATTCCTGCCCT